GTATTTTAAGATATACGATTCCATGGTACATTGATAATATGGTATTTTGATCTATCTCGTAAGGTTTAGCCAGCGTTTACAATATAAGCGCACAACTACATCTTTTTTACATTACAAATCTTTGAGAATAAAATACTATTTCAGATAACCCGCCTCTTGAATCACTCTTTCTATTGATGAAAACCGCAGTAAGATCCGTGGCGTAGCTTGAAAGATCTAAGCGTACAAGAACAAAAAGTGACTTTATTTTATACTATGTATGTAATGTACAGATTCATTAATTGAAGATTAAGGAGATTGGTATGCTACGGCATATTAGGATTAAGTTACTTAAATCATTCTTAATTTTATCGAAGATAACCGTATTCAAGGAGATAAAAATGCAATTATCATACCTGCTCACTAGTCTTATCTTACATTTTTTTGGGACTGTAAATATATACAATTTACAATTAATGAGATTATGAAACGTTACTTTGAACGATATTAAAATATTTCAGCGGATTGGAGTGTTACCAAGACGCTGAACGCTCATCTAGCCTGTAAAATAAAGTAGGTTCCAATTTCAAATCGTGGACTTGTGCTGCCTTTGGAAATCGTATGGTATTTTAGCAGCTTAATTTCAAGTTTAGAGTAAGACTCAGAACAAAACTTTGTTAGAACTGATATAATTTTTATTGTATGGGTACTCGATGAACGTAGTAATTCTGCAGCGGGATCTTGTATTGCTGTCTCCTAAGAAAATATAAGCCAGCATAAAAAAATAGAAAGAAACCTACTCTCCAGAATTTAAGAATTGGGAATACAAATTCTACCTACCACTTCACTTATTTCCACACCGGCAACACTTTTTAAATTTTTGTGCGACGAAGGATTCCCCAAGATAAGTAAATTCTGTTTAACTTCTTTAACAGTCTATACTTTTACTATAAAAATCTTTCTTCAAGCTTCTAAGTCATTTAGGAACTATTAGTGTGCGCTTGGCGGATTCTTTATAACAGTACAAAAGTTATTACTACGTCATGCTTGTCGGAATAGAAATATTAAATAACCGACCAAGTGCGTGTCGGTAAACGTAGTGTAGGTTTTTGAAGTTAATTACTACCGGTGAATAAAAAGTAACAATTTCAACTACCTACCTACATATAATATTTGACTACATATAATTTTTGTATTTAATACAAAATTATCTGAGTTCGAACTTACGTTTACAAAAAAAAATTTGGTATCACTTGCTCACTTGTAGGGGCAGTAGCATACGAGTATAATTATTTTTTCAAGTTTTTATTTTATCTGCAGATTTAATCACCTTCCTATTACGAAGAGTCTCTTAGCTAAGCCGTAGTCGGGTTGATGTGATATGCCATAAATCCATAACACGTAATGAAATATCCAACGAAAGAAAGTAACTAATAACTAAATAAGATAACAAAAGAAAAATAACACCTGCAATCAGTGATAGTTATGCTCTGCACAGACTTCGAAAGGAGGTCCAACTTAACTCAAATAGTTATAAATTTATACGGTGATTGCCGAGACACGTGATAAGTATTACATATCTTTCAAATGTTAGCACATAAAGCTGCTGGTAACAAAATTAAAAGAGATTACGAATTTTTTACCTAATGTTTTATAGAAAAAAAAGTCTTCAGCATTAGACAGACATCTTCTATGATTCTATGGGCAAGTTACATAGTCGCATGCACAGTCTGTAACCGTAAAACTCTATTTAAAAAGAAAACTGACTGATCTAAAAAACTGTATAAGAAACATGAAATAGCAATTAGTTGATTTCATTTTTACCGCAGTAAGATACTAGAGACTATTACTATTAAGAGAATACCTTATAAATAAAATTATAATTTTGTTTACTTTTTATTAATAAAATATTGTACAAAAATATATTTTGTATCCATGTATATAATACTACTATAAAATCAAGCTGTATAAGTCTATACCAGCTTTTTCTGGCCACATCAAAAAGTACATAAAATAACTTTTTAAACAATAAAATGGGATTTATTATTAATAATATCAATATGCACGAAATATATTTTAGAAATACACAGCTGCAGTAAATATCTCCTCTTACTCTTATAATATCACTTCCCATATCACAATCTAATCAATAAGCTTCATTATAAAACCTCATATTTTCTGTTTGCCGTTCAATATTGCAACAAGAATTAAAATATACATTAGAAAACCAATAAATTCAAAATTTACATACACATTTTGTGTAACATGAAATTTTGCTGAAAGTTGATGCTGAAGTGCAGATAGTGTAAAAAATTTAATATTGTGTTTCAAATTTTAAAGTTACTTAAAAATTGATATATTAAACTATACAATCACTGCATACGTTTACCGTGTACGATTGTGGATTGTGGAGCCATTTTAGAATTTAAACGAATTTTAAACGGAAACTGCCCCCTCATTTAGTAGGTGACGAAATAATTTTGTAGGACAAATCCTGAAATTTGTAGTAAGATATATCCAAAGTTATGTCAATGTAAAAGTGGCTCCTAAACATTTAGATTGAGGAGCCACCTTTATGTTTATATAACTTGAAAAGTATTATACTACAAAATCGGGGATCGCGGCTACAATTTTTTTTAAATGACTACTAAATAATATATTAATTTCATTACCATTTGTAGAGTGGCTCCTCAATCCAAACGGACATTGTTTACCTGTCACGGTATATATTACTATACAATGATTGTTCAAGTTGTACTGAAAAAGAATTATGTATTTTCATTAAATTAGAGCCGAAATTCGACCCAGGTGTCAATAGTAGATCTGTTTTACTTAATAAATATGAAGAACATATGTAACTAATATGAGGTTGTAATATAAACATTTATTGTAATTTTATTTTGAAGGTCTGTTAATTTTCAAGTTTATATTCCTAATTAACAGAATTAAGAGCCCCCCTTACAAGGAATGACAGAAATTTATGTTAAAAGGGTACTGTGCAAGGTTCAGTAACAATTAAAAGTCTACTTGCTGCTTGTATGTTTACATTACACCTATAAATTTGCCATTTTATTGATGTTACTTAGCACTAAGAAAGTAATATTAGATATTTATTTCTTTTTAGTGAACTATGAATGTCATGAAACCTTGAAGAGATTATTAAATACTGCATCTGTGTTTGATAATGACTTTTTAATTAACTGATTGTGCGTATGGATACATGTATACTTTGAAACAGTATGAACTTATTATTATTCATTTGTTGAATAGAATCCAAACACAAATATTATGAGGATAGTTAGCGAACATTTATAAGAATTTAAATTTAATAAATATATTTTGGGATATCAAAAGGTTTTTAGTGATTCTAATCTTATCTTAATAAATACTATATTTGGTATTGGTAATAACTACCATGATGTAGCATCAATATATCAATTTAAATATCAACAATAGATTATATTCATATAATATTTAAAATTATCACAAAACATGTTAACAAATAAATATCTGGTAGGTATTCAAGGGAGTTATAGTACATAAACTTCAATATGCTGTACTCCCCTCCAACACTGACCTATCAAAATACTTTACAAAGAGGAAGATGGCTTTCACTAACCAAAATTTTGTTACCAAAAACTTTGTTCAATAAAATTGCTGAGTTTTTTTACAATTAAGGCACACCGGAAGCACCAAGATTAAATCTTATTCAATTATTGTCACCTTTATACTGATCATAACATTTTGTATAAGAAAGAACACCTAATTAATTTAATTATTTAACAATTATTAAATGTTCCAAATAAAAAAATAGATGATATTTTACTATAAAGACCTTTGTAAATTGTCATATTTATTAAAAATATGCAATATAACTCAATATATATTTGAGGGCCAGCTTATTATTGGGCATTTATCAACTACTTTGGCGGCTGAGAATTGTGAGTCAATGTACATATTCTTAATTAATAAGACATATATTCTTAAAACAATTTAAAAACATGTCAATAGCTTATTATGTGCATTACTGACACACGTAATTTGTTTTTTTTTTAAATACTGCTAATTATTACTATTATTTTTATTCCAAATTAGAAACAACTGTTAGTCAAGACTGACAAAGTCACTGTGAGACTGATTATCATTGCGATGCCACTTTTCTAAATTTAGGCTGATTGAGATTGCACTAGTGTACATTTTGAAAATACACATTTTAATAAGATGCAAAAGATCTAGGCCTTAATTATAGTATGAAAGTCGAGTGCACACATTTCACCAGAGCAAAGCCTCAATTTTTGTATAATGTCGGAAAAGTTTTAACAGTATGTAAGTCAAAAAAGGTTACGGAACAGCAAAAAAAGTGCACCATTGCTGCTGGAAAATTTCATGGTAATTCTTGAAATGAAGATAGAATTGTGTACGAACTTTTTAATAACAAAACATTGGCTTCTTTATTCTCTAACTTGTTACCTAATAACATGGATAATTTTGCAAATGTGTTGAGGTTTACTTAAGCAGTGTCAGTTTCCTTAAAAAAATGTTTTAGATTAGCTAACCCCTTTCTGACAAGTAACCGCCAGTGCTGCCACGCCACAAATAATTTCTTTTTTCACAAGATATATTTGTGGTACATTTTATCTATTGATCGGTACAGCAAGTACAATTAAAGAAACTTTTAATTGATACATCTATAAATTAGGCAATTTACTGTGACCGGGCTTCGCTGCAACACACCAGTAGTAGTCTTTCTTCATCAAATGTTACAATTGCAAAAAAAATGACTCGCACACTGTTAGAACTTACTGATGATAGTTTCTAGTCTGGCATTCTAATGGTATTTGTATTCTTGGCTCATTGATACTGCAAGCTGTAAGTTTGCAGGATCAATGAGCAATGAGGACAATAGGCAAATAAAAAAAAGAAATACCTAAATTATTCTGCAAACAGAGACTTTGGCAGACTAAGTAATTATAAACTCCAAAAACTTTGTTAGTTGCCATCCAACTTACTGATACCCAGATTTAATCATTGTACATGCCATCAAGTAAAAAGTCCATTCGTTTATAATGTCTGTTCTTCCAAGCTTCTTGACCTCGCCGCAAGGCCATGTAGCCAAGTACTGCAAACATAGGAACTAGTAAAATGGTTATCACAATGGGCATAACCATCCCAGGATGATTATTTGCACTACTTATATATGTTTTAACTTTATTATTAGGTGATTGTATTTGGCTATTAACTATAGTTGCAGGAGAAGACTTAATTTCCGATTGTGCATTTTCTAGCAGGTCAGCATTCAATATCAGTGGCTTTTTTGGTAACTGAACAGTGTTATTGGCATTTTCAGAACTATTATTCACAGTGCTTTTGTTCACCACAGAGCTATTATCCATTTGCAAAGTTATGTTTTTTATAGTGGTTGTTGACTGCTCATTTGTAGTGTTAGAATTTGCAATAGATGTATTGGCTTTAAGTGATACATTTTCACTCAGAGATAATATTGGTTTTTCAGAGGAATTCGTTATTTCATCCGTGTAATTCCCGGCCCCTTTTCGTGCAACGATTTTACTTTTGCCTGTCTCCTTGTCTAAACTTGGTATGTTATCGTTGTTTTTAGGTAATGCAATTGCTAATTTATCGGGCGATATCGAACCACCTTCACTAGGTACTTGCGTTTCATTAGGCAGTAGAGAAACAGGTGGCGTATTATTTATTACTTTCGATTTAGTCACTGTGATATCATTACATAAAATAACCGGAAGGAATAAAATATTGCACACTACAACGTAAAGATATATCATTTTGTATAAAATGAAAATGGTCAAAAACTAATACCATAAAAACAAAAAACATTAGAAAAGAACGGACTTAATGTATTGTATTGAGTGTTATGACATGACACAACAACAGTGCTGTCCTGTGGACCAGGGATGTTCGATTCAGTATATTACAATGTACTCTGTGGTTCGATTGCGATGAGCCAAAGCTGGTACAGATGTCGCAAAAATGCTCTAAAAGTTCGTATTTAAAAAAAAATAGTTGGTACAGTCACAATTACGTATTATTAATAAAAATAATAAAAGTAAACAGTTTATTTTGTACGTTCTTTTAAATAAAATTTTGAACTATCGAAAAAAAAATTTTTTTTAAGTTCTTACCTAATAAAAAATTAACAATAATCATCATCAGCCTATCGCAGTCCACTGCTGGACATAGGCCTCTCCCATTGCACGCCACTTAGATCGATTTTGGGCTTCTTGCATCTAGCGATAAGCATTACAGCTTCACAGAAAGACACCACTGCGCCCCAGCCCTCCTCACCCGCCAGCATGGCAGCAATGATTGCTGGCGGGGACAGGTCTCATCCGATTTGGTCGACCAGGACCTCGCGTCGGCTACGCAGTGCTGGCATTGTGCCGTCTCGTCGCGTCCAATCCGATGCAGGTACTCCCCGAAGCAACCATTCCCGTCAAGAGCTCATCCTGGTCTTCCCCAATCTCGCCCCGGCGGATCGCGCAAGTCTGGTCATAGACTCTCGCGTCCATATCCGCCAGAATATCAAAAGGCGGGAAACGTGCGTTCCCGTTGACCTAGAATCACGAAATTTGGCAAAAAGAAACGTCTTGCAGCACAAATAAAGGAATAATTCCAAAAAATAAAAAATTGAAAATTAAGATAAATTTTGGTACTTCCAAATTTTCGCGAAAATCTACGTAAAATCTTTGCAGGTACGGAACCCTCGGTTCGACTCGTTCGACTCGCACCTGACCGGTTTTTTTTATCATTTAAGATTTTTTAGGTAAGTTATAATTAATATTATAACTAATAATTATTATAATATCAATAATAACTCATTATTCGTTGAAATTTTTATTATTAGATCGTATATAAATGTCTATACATAATTCAAAAAATAAAAATAATAAGCAGCCCCTAGTTACATTGGCCGATTTTTTATATTATTATTGACAAAATCATACTTGTCATCCATGGATAATTTGCTCGATTGATGAAGTTAATCTGAAGTAAGTTACTCAATGGCTCAGAAATAAATATCGTTAGGGACAGTAATTTTTTTCAATAATCAATGTTGTAAAAATTTACTGACGTGCAGCAAGAACTTATATATTGTTAGATATAAGAAAAAAATATGTATGATTAATGTAGAAAGTTGGTTTTATTGCGAACCAACACAAAATTTATTTGGCACATTGTACAAGACCCTGAAAAATAGTACGTATACCAAGAAATTGGTGCGTCTAACATCCCTGCTATCCACTACTAAAATTTTATGTGATTTCACCCGTGTATTACCATACTACTCCCTGTCAATCATAAACACCTTCACCTATATCAGCCAGGGGCCTCAGCAATAAACGGATTTTGTGAAAATGTTTCGGAGAGACAGTAGTAGTTGTTATTTATTATAAACAAAATTTAAATAACACAACTATGGTACCTATATTTGATTCAAGAACAATTTACCAAAAAGAAAGATTTATTAACAAGTGTTGCCATTTTTGTCATTGGCAACGATCTTTTCTAGGGTAGTACAACATGCTACCGGCGGACCGTATTGCTCTTTGGAGGTAATATTTCAAGTTCAGTGTGTTTTTTAATTAAATTAAAATCTATCTATCATATGAGTTATTTATTGATACGACTAGGTTACCGTTTAAATATTCATAGTTTTAAATCTGTTCATTATAAGATTTACTAAGGTAGTTGCATTTAGAGCCGTTTGGGTTCAATCTAGTGGTAACCATATGACTTAGGTTCCTAAACAAACTAGCAATTGCTCGCAACATTTTGAGCCTTCCCGTCTTCTTCAGTCGCACAAAAAGCAGTAGATTGAAACGGGGCGGATCAAGAACAGATCTGAATGACATTGAGCACAAATTATAGATTATAGTCTAAAAAAACACATAGAGAATGAAAAGTACATTCTTCATGGGTCGCGGGTACGGTTTAATGTTTAAGTGATATTGTTGGAGAATTGCATTTTCCAGGAATATCACCTTTTCATAAAATACAAATTTCATCCAAATCATAATTACGGTTGCCGATATCATTGTAAGAATTGCTTGTTTAAAGCAATAAGATTTAAAAAAGCAATACAAGATCTTATTTAAAATTATTAGTAAAGTTACTATTCAATACATTTTCAAATAAGAAAACATAATTTTTATTTTAAAACTCGTATTATAAATATCTTCGCGTATGTGAGATCCTTAGCATTGTTACTTAGTATCAACAGATTGAATCTATGAATGTTTCATTACTACACTTTTAAACTTATACACATTTACACATAGTTTGTGGTTGCTAAATTATTCTAGACTTGAAGACAATTTGTGTTCGGTATTAGCATCTGTTGCTGAACTAGACTAAAAACCTGTATTTCAGCTAACAGCGCCTACACATCGATCTCTGAATATGGAAAAGTATTATAATTTTCTTAAGCTAATATTTTTGTGAATGTGTACCTCTCCCTTGATGCCTGGATGCGTTGTACCTGTGTATGTATGTGTCTGCAGGAGAGAGAGTGTAAGAGTAGTGTGATAGTTCTGAGATTAGAATAATACCGTTTAGTTACCGTATAGTTGTGCCATAGATATTCATATTTAGATTAATAATATGGATAGATTAATAATTATTTCTATTAATATTACTAATTTTTATTAATATTGCTTTTATTACTAAATTATTTGATAATACGTTCAGTTTCGTAATAAGATAATTAAATAATCGGACAAGGCTTTTCTTACTTTAAATTTACTTAATGAATAAATATTCATTGTTTTATTAAACTTGTTGTACATATAAGGACCTAGAAATTTATAAAACCTGTCGATAAAAAATTTTTTGGTTTGGTTACGGTCACACACAAGTTCTTCGCTGGGATGTAATGGGCTTTTTTTAATATGCAAGCAGTGAATGTTGTTTTAATGTTAAGCTTAACAGGAAAAGTTGTCGCACCGTTAGTACATCACAATATCCATATAGAAGCTTGGTGTGTAACGAAAAGGTTTGAAGGTGCAGAGTTTCAGGATACTTCGTTGCGCTATCTCTAGCTGAATGATAGTTGTTTTAGGAGCCCCGCCCCAGGACGATATGCAGTATATAATCACGGATTAACAGAGAGCATTATGGATTTGTTTGAGATTTTCAGGTGATAGTACATGTCTTAAAGTTTTGAAGAGTTAATTCAATTTACGAACTCTTTTGCTAATCAATTGAATATGGGCTTTGACATATAAATTTAGATCAATCGCTACTTCCAGGTATTTAATTCTATGGCCATGCTGAAGGGATGTGCATTTAAGTGCACAAGTAGAAGCAGACCGTGATTTATTTAAACAATTATGCACTATCAATCCGTGATCAGTTTGAACTGAGTCTCTAATCAAAAAGGTCATATATTTGGTCTCATCAGCGTTTAAAGTTAGAATGTTTTGTTGAAGCCATATTTTGACAATATTTTGGCCGTTTTGAGCATGGTCTCTTTCCATGTTTCAGCTGTAAAAATGCTAGCTTTACCCGCAGTCAGACTCAAGGATAAAAGGTCGTTAATATATATTTAAAAAAAGTCGGCCCGAGAACACTTCCTTGGAGTACGCCGTAATTGACTAAAAGATCAATACTTGGTGGCCCCAATTTTTTCCAATTTCTTCACCAGGATGGGAACAGAGACCAAATGCCTTTGATAGGTCTAGGAATATTTTTTGCTTTTATCTAGGTTCGTTGTAATAATATCTGTCAGATTTCCAACCGCTTCGTCTGTGCATCTCCCTTTGCGGAAACCAAACTGACTGTTTGATAAGAAACCTTTGGTTTCTAAATAATTAACCAACCTGCTAATCATAACAAGATCTTGGATAGCGTTGGTAAAATTGATATAGGCTTTTCGATGTTATCTTTATACCCACCATCGTAGATTCGGCGTAGTTGAGATCTCTCAAGGGCTTCAGGAAAGATGCCGCTTACCAAACATCTGTTAAAAATGTAAGTCAGGTGGGGCACAAGTGTATTACTATTCTCTTTTAACAGTGTAGGAGAAATGTTATCCTTGACGATTTACCACATTTTTTTGCATCTTTTCCTGCTTTTGGATACGTTCCCTTTCGTAGCTCCATTTAACATTTTTTTTGGATGAAAGCGCAGAAGTTTATGTAACGGGTATAGGTAGTTTTAAGTATTGTGTTATCAGGGCCAGCTTTAAGTTTTAAATGTAACTTGTAACAGGAATAAGTTACCTTGTAGTGGACCTTGAGTAATCCAAGGTTTGATTATTTTCTTACGACGAGGTAATGAAATAGTAGTTGAGCTTTAATTTAAGGCTTCATTTAACTTAGCAATAATATAGTTCATTGCAATATTATATGTTTTGGAATAAGACAGACAACGATGGCTGCTTAGGAAATATTTTGCTGCGTTTGTCAACTTCGCATGTTAACGAGTCCGACACATCAAAAGCGCCTATTTTTCAATAGTAGCCATGAGTATCATAGATAGTTAAATATATCAACCGATAGTCAATATATAAACACAATAATTCAAATATGCATTCATGCATGCGTTATCATTTCATAAACATATGAGACATAATAAAAAAATGCAACAGAGTATAACAGGTAATACATACTTTACAATTTGTTATTGTTTTTATGTTTGGCACATAACCGTGGTAGAGATAATAAGGGCTTTGTATCATTCAATCTTAAGAAAAAATGTTATAAAATCTGTATAGTGTTGTAACCGCTTAACCTGACAGGCGGTCTACTCACGGGCTTACCCAGCG